GATAGGTACAAATACATATATAAAAGTGTCGATACATAAGAATGCAACAGGTTGGACTTGAAACTTAAATAAACCGATTAAAACTTAACATTTGGGGTAGGTTGGATCGGATACCTTTTCAGAATGTAAAGAAGTATGGTACTTATAAACACTTATCAATATATTATCAAAATTTTATATTTTTAAAATGTTATATTTTCAAAAAGTTATATTTTCAAAAAATTTATATTTAGAGTAGATATATTGATATTTTCAATAGTTTATATTTCCAAAAAAATAGGAAAAGAGTCACATACAGTACATTTCAAAGTTGATTTGAGTGACGGGAAAGAAAGAATCTTTACTATGCCCCATCAGAATTGGGCCAACCTGAAAGGGAATCATTAAATGAAACTAAAAAAATGGCTTTGTTTCCTATACGAAACTATCTACCCTCCTTCAAAGCTTGTAGATTTAAAAGAAGGAGACCCTGATTGTTAAATAAAATATCATTTTAACCGTTAAATTTTAGAAAAATATCAATTTAACCTCTAATCCATACATCAACATGAAGTGGAAGCATCAACTTTTGTTGCACCCAACAGCCAAAAAGGGCAAACATAACACAGAGAAATATAAAGATACATAACTAAAAAAGATGTTTTCATATATGAAATTCCAAAAAAAAATAATTCGAATATATAATAAGCAACAAGCAAAAAAACAACAATAGAGAAAGGGGACACAAGTCGATGATAATCTTCAATATATAAACAATCTCGTCGAACACCCCAAAGTTCAAGGTTTAGGATAGTGCACAACCGCATTGCACCATGATTTAAAAAACTCTATAAACCCTTTATTTCATCAAATTAGAAGAAAACATAACCTAAAATAAGAAGTTGGTCTGAAGTCCGAGGACAACGAATCAACGACTGAGCAACGATGGAGGTGAGGGGTCGAACCATAGAAATGAAAGGGTTTGGGAGAAATTGAGGTGATGGACGGTTGAGCGTATGAGAAACCTTGAAGGAGAAAGCCTTTAATGGAAAGTCTTTAGACTTTAATGATGATGCATACAAAATAGACTCTCTGACTCGTTCTTCTAATTCAATCCGTAGGTAACCGTTAACGTTACTCTTACTTATGAGATAAACAATAGAAAGAAAAACAAGGCGCAAACGAATACGTTACTCCTACTTATATGGTAACTGGTTAAAATTAACAAGGTAAAACCTATAACATCACACAAGAATGTTAACTAAACCAGTTAAAATAAGAAAAAAAGATAAAAAATGTAGGTATCGATATATACAATATGGTTATCTATACTTTTTCAGGAAAATCTTTGCACATAGCATACTGTCGAAAAAGTATCTAAACTTTTAGAGTAAGTATTGATATGTCAACTATGCAATTTATGCTTCAAAATTAGTAATATTGATACTTAGAGTAGGTATATCGACACTATGTCAGGAAATTTTTTTGACATAACAAACTTTCAGGTATTGATACTTTCATAACCAGACTAATATAATGCTAAAAAATAGCGTGACCAGAAATTTAGTAAGAAACTTGATAAAGTCAGTTAAGCACGACAAATAATGTTGACTTAATCATAATGTTGTAGGTTGAAAACATGAAAAAAAAATTAAAAAAATTCGTAAACGGTAAACTTATGTTATCGGTAGGTATCGATACAGATATATACAAGTATCGGTACATAAAAAGATAACAGGTTGGAACTTAAACAAACTGGTTAAAACTTAACATTTGAGGTATGTTGGACCGGATAACATTTGAATGTTATCGGTAGGTATCAATACATAAGAATACATCAAGTTGGACTTGGAACTTAAACAAATCGGTTGAACCTTAACATTTGAGGTAGGTTGGACTGAATAACATTTGAATGTTATCGATAGGTATCAATACATATATGCAAGTATCGATGCATAAGAATACAATAGGTTGGACTTGGAATTTAAACAAATAAGTTGAAACTTAACATTTAAGGTAGATTGGACCAGATAATTTTTGAGACTGTAAATAAGTATTGGTACTTGTAAACATGTATCGATATATTTTTAAAATTTATATTTTCAAAAAAATTGTACTTAGAGTAGTTGTCTAAATATTTTCAAAAATTTATATTTTTGAAAAAGTAGGAAAAGAATCACACACAATACAATTCAAAGCAGACTTGAGTGTAGTAAAGAAAGAATACTCGAGAAAGTCACATTTTATAATGGAATCTTTATTGTGCCTCGTCAAAATTGGGGCAACCTGTTAGGGAATAATTAAATGACTCATACATATTCAACTCCTACTAACCAACCACCGTTAACATTAATGACTCATACTTATAAGATAACCAATAAAAACCAAAACATGTGCAAACGAATACATTACTCCTACTTATAAGGTAACTAATAAGGTAACTAGTTAAAAATAACAAGGCACAACCTATAACGTCACACAAAAATGTTAACTAAACCGATTAGAATAAAAAAATATCAAAAGTGTAGGAATCAATACATACAGTATGGGTATCAATACTTATTCAGGACAATCCTTGGGCTTAGCATACTATCAAAAAAGTATCAAAACTTTTAGAGTAAGTATCGATATGTTAACTATGCAATTTATGTTTCGAAATTAGTAATATTGATACTTAGAGTAGGTATATCGATACTATGTCACGAAAATTTCGTGACATAAACAAACTGTCGTAAACGTTTCAATACTTTCATAACTAGTATCGATATTTTAACCTTCCTCAAATTGAAAATACGGATAGTTAGAGTAGATGTATCGATATTGTAATAAAACATACTGATACTTTGAAATATCAATACTCAAAGATTATCCTGACAAAGTATCTATACACATATTGTCTGTATCGATCCTACACTTTCGATCTTTTTTCTTATTTTAACCGGTTTAGTTAACATTATTGTGTGACATTATAGGTTGCAGCTTGTTATTTTTAATCAGTTTCCTCATAAGAATGAGTGATGTTTTCAGTTACGCCTTCTTTTTAATTTTACCGTTTATCTCATAAGTAAGAGTAACGTTAAGGGTTCTGCCTTGTTATTTAGTATAAAAGTTTCGATCATCAGATCATAATATCGATATTTATTTTAAATAACATTTCTCTCTAACTAATACAATTACATATTAAAGTGCAACTGATTTCATTAAATAGAAGTTTTCAATTTTTTGAATCGATTTGAATAGACTTTGAGTTGTAATTTCATAAACTCGACTCAACTCAAAAAATCTTCAAGTTCAAAAAATTGAGTTGTAAAATACAATTGAATAACTCAAAATTTTTAGTAATTAGTAGATTGATTTTCAAGTTTGAGTCGAGTCCCTCGACTTTGTACGGTATATGTAAATCAAATATGAAAAAGTATAAATTTATTGTATATGGTTATAAAATACCATTTAAATTGGAATCAAATAATGTCATAATATTGTAAATATTTACGATTAAATTTAAATAGAAACTTGAATATTTGGCTCTATTTGACTCGACAAGACTCGAAAAAAATTCAAGTCAACTTCGAGTTATAGAATAAGACTTATTAACTCGAATAATTAAAAATATTTTTTGACTCAACTCGATCAAAATCTCATCAAAATAGAACATAAAAAAGGTTGTAGCAACAACATTTCATTTCTACTTTATTATAACCCATTTAAAAGGATTACAAAAGTCTAAAATGATAGTTGTCTACTTATTTAAGTAAATACACTAATATAAGCCTAGAAATAGCTATTAATTATAAAAACTACTAACACAGACAAAGTAAAAAACTGATTATCCAATATCAAACTCAATACATCAACAGTTAACTCGGCCCATTCCCCCATCTTTATCTTATTTTGCATTATATCTTCTTGTTATATTTCATTTAATGCAGGGTGTTGAAAGACATCATGTGTGTAATTTTTGGAGAGTGAGTTGTGACGACCACTATCCTTCGGTCCCTATTAAGTGAATTTCTTCCATCGCGTCATAGTCGCCAAATATGTTGCAGGAAATAACTCAGGATTTCTAAGCCATACAAGGAATAAACAAAATAAAATCATTGAAGAATTTCGTAAAGGGTGATATGTTTCTATGTAATGTATAGTAGGAAATGATGATTCCGTTAGCAACAACATTTGAATGATGACATTCCATTTTTTCAAGTTAACCTAATAGTTGCAATTTTGATTCTCCAAGAAGGCTTGGATAACAATACTGTAACTTAATAATATGATTTGATTATCCACTTGAAAGATTTGCTAATTTGTTTTTTCAAATTAAAAAAAATGGCAAAACTTTCAGTTGGATAATCAAATCTTATTATTAAGTTGCAGGATTGAACATCCAAGCCTTCTTTGAGAATCGAAGTTGCAACGATTACGTTAATCTATAAAAATAGAATGTCATCATTTGAATGTTGTTTCTATTAGAATCATCATTTCCTACCATACATGACATAGAAGCATACCATCCTTTTAAGAAATTCTTCAATGATTTTATTTTGTTTATTCCTAACCTGGCTCAGCAATCCAGAGCTATTTCCTGCAATATATTTGGAAGAAATTTACTTAATAGGGACTGAAGCACAATGGCCGTCACAACCCGCTTACACACCAGATGTCCTTCAACGCCCTACGTCGTACATAATAGGCTTGGACCATTTTTTTCTTGGTGCAAGGTTCATGCAACTTCTGTTTCGCTCCTTCAATCTCAAAAGATTCATCAATTCCAAATGAATCAATGTCAAAAAACCATCGACTTTGGTACCTCAGGCAAAGCTCGAATCCAAACAACTGAAAAGGGCTGCAGATATAAAAGCATCAACATTTGTTGCACCCAAAAGCCAAAAAGGGCAAACATAACACAAACATATATAAAGATACAAATCCAAAAAAGATGTTTTCATATATGACATTCCAAAAAATTTAGAATATATAGTAAGCAACAAGAAGAAAAAAAGCAGCAGAGAAAGGGGACATGTCACAGTTGGAAGAGAAGAACATGGAAACGAAGAGGAAAACGGTGAAGTAGGGAGTGAGATGCGAAGGAGAAATGAAAAAGGGGAATTAGGGATTGAAGGGCGAGAGGAAAATGAGATTGGGGAATTAGGGATTATGGCAATTGAAGGGCTACGGATGTTACCTGATGAAGTGGAGCCGCACGTGACCAGTTCAAGCAATGGGGGAGCAGGCCAGAAAAGGATCCAAGAGGAGTCAACAACCCAGTCAACCCAAATGGAGAAGGTTTAGCCCACGTGTTCAGTCCAATAGCCTGCAGAAAAGAGAATCTAATAGTTGTTATAATCTGTTATAAGGACAGCCAGCTGGCATCCTTTCAAAAGACTGAATTAGCCCTGTAACTATATAAAAATATGCTGTATTGAGAATGGGAACAATTATGAAATGAATGCATGAACTTTTTCTGTAAACTCTATCAACTTATCTTCTGAAATCCCTTTCTTCTTCGCTATTTCTTCTCTAATATACCTAGATCGTCACAGTTGGTATCGAGAGCCTCGGTTCTGGCAAGTAATCAGGAGCATGACAAAGAAAAATCAGAGTATGGAAGCTGATTTATCTGGGTTGCAAAAGCAGATGGAGGAGCTTACAGCCTTGGTGAAACAAGGCCGTGATGAGACTAATCCACCGAAATGGTGGGAGACTCAAGAAAACAGGATTGTTGCACTAGAGGCAAGAATGTCCACTAATCAAGGTTATGTGGAGGAGCTGTTGAAAATTTTAACGGGCAGAAATGGGGAACAAGAACAGTCTGCAGGTGATCAGGTAAACACTCCTAATAACTCTAAGGATGGGGAGAAAAATCCTGTTTTAGTGACTGTAGTGAAGGATAAATCCAGATTCACTTATAAAACCAATGAACCGGGTATACTAAAAGATAAGCCTGATGCTTGTTTCAACCCTAAGAACAGTAGTAGACCTGAGAATCAAATGGGGAAAATAAACAATAGACCTATTATGATTGGAATGGAAGCTGAAAACAGGGGACCAGGGGGTTCTTTTAGCAGTTATGGGTCGATGTGGCATAGACCTAAAATCGATTTACCATTCTTTGAAGGAATCAATCCTAGAGGGTGGCTTCAAAAATGTCTCAAATATTTTTCTATATGTAATGTTCCTACAGAGCAGAGAGTAGAAGTAGCCACTATGTACTTGACTGGAAAGCAGAAGTTTGGTTTGATGGATATATTATGCAGAAACACCATGTAACATGGCATGAATTTGAAGCAGATCTTTGTCATAGATTTAGTGACAAGACTTTTTCTGATATTGTAGAGGAATTTACTAAGCTGACTCAGAAAGGGACTGTTGAGGCTTATCAGGAAAAATTTGAAGAGCTACAACCTTATATGTTATTACAAAATCCTACATTACATGAGGATTTCTTTGTGTCATTGTTTATCAGTGGACTAAGGGAGGATATTAAACATAGGGTGAAGGCTCTAGATCCTAAAAATTTGCCTGAAGCATACAAACAAGCCAAACTTTATGAATTATCTGTTGATTATGAAAATAGAAGAATGAGGCCTTTTTTTAAAAACCCACCCTACCCAAACCCCATTGTTACTTCTAAATCAGTTTCTCTGCCAACAATTACCAAAAACACATCAGTTTCTATCCTAACAGAGTCTTATGGATTATAGAAGACAAAACAATCTTTGCTTCAAGTGTGGGGAGATTTTCTTCCAGGGCATCAATGTAAGTCAAGGAATTAAATTTGATGATTGAGGAAGTCTGCTGTTCCTACAGATAATGTTATTATGGAATCAGATCAGCAATTGATGCAGGAAGAAGAGGCTCTAGAAATCTCTATGAATGCTATTACTGGTTGTATTAGCCATAATACATTAAGGATTCAAGGAGCCATTAAAGGCAGACCAATTAGTATTTTAATTGACAGTGGGAGTACTCATAGTTTTTTGACTCCACAGTGGACTGATGCTGGTATACATGTAATTACACCATATCCTTTGGCAATCACAGTAGCCAATGGACAGAAACTTTATAGTTCAGCAAGATGTAATCAGGTGGAGTGGCAGATGCAAGGGCAATCTTTTGTTCATGATTTTAGACTCCTAAAGTTAGGTGGCAGTGATATGGTGTTGGGGGTGGATTGGATGAAATTATTTAGCCCTATTTTGATGGATTTTAATCAAATGACATTGAGTTTTCAACATCAGGGGAGAATATTATTATCAGGGACAACAACCATCTAATTTTTTGCAGCAAATTTCTGGAGCTACATTATTGAAAATGACAGCATCAGATTTTCCTATTTTGGGTCATGTGGTTTTGTTGACTATGTCTACAGATTCAAAACCTGTTCCACCAGCTATTCAACCTCTTTTACAGAGATATCAGTCTATTTTTGAAGAACCTACTGGTTTACCACCTACAAGGACTCATGACCATGCTATTCCACTTAAGCCTGACTCTACTCCTATCAATTTGAGACCTTACAGATTTCCACACATCAGAAAGATGAGGTGGAAAACAGATTTCTAGTATGCTTTCAGCCTCTATTATCGCCTAGTAGGAGTCCATTTACTTCTCCATGCCTTCTTATCAAAAAGAAGGACTGTAAAGGATAAATTTCATATACCTGTGGTTGAAGACCTATTAGATGAACTGCATGGAGCAGTTTATTTTTCCAAGATTGATCTCAGATATGGTTATTGGAAAATAAGGATTAAGTCTGAGGACATATACAAGACAGCATTCAGAACTCATCAAGGACATTATGAGTTTAAGGTGATGCCTTTTGGACTTACTAATGCCCCTGCTACATTTCAAGATTTGATGAATGAATTGTTTAGTTCATTTCTTATAAAATTTGTCTTGGTATTTTTTGATGATATCTTAGTCTATAGTACTTCTATGAATGATCATGTTACTCATTTACGACTGGTTTTAGAAGTACTGCATCAGAATCAGCTGTTTGCCAAGCTGTCCAAATGCTTCTTTGGACAGAATCAGGTTGAATACTTGGGCCATATTATTTCAGCTGTTGGAGTTTCTACTGATCCTAACAAAGTGGAAGCTATGAGGAATTGGCCAGTGCCTAAGTCATTAAAGTCTCTGCGTGAATTTTTGGGATTAACAGGCTATTACAGAAGATTTATTAAAGATTATGGGTCAATTAGCAAACCTTTGACACAGATGCTTAAGAAAGACAAATTTCAGTGGTCTGATGCAGCTTTGACTGCTTTTGAAGAATTAAAGAGGGCTATGTGTATTGCTCCTGTTTTAGCCTTACCAGATTTTGGTAAGAGCTTTTATTTGGAAACAGATGCCAGTTCTGGTGGTATTGGGGCAGTTTTATATCAAGAGGGTAGACCTATTGCCTATTTAAGTAAGGCTCTCAGTCCTAGACATGCAGCACTCTCTATTTATGAAAGAGAGTATCTTGCTATACTTCTAGCAGTTTCCAAGTGGAGGCATTATTTAGAGAGTAAATCCTTTGTGATTAAAACAGATCATGAGCCATTGAAATATCTATTAGAACAGAAGCTGACTACTACTATTCAAAAGAAAGGATTGACCAAGTTATTGGGGCTGGATTACACTATTCAATACAGGAAAGGTAAATCAAATGTTGTTGCTGATGCCTTATCCAGACAGTGGGAAGATCAGGGTGACTGTTTTACTATGAACACTACACTAATCATTCCAAGTTGGGTTCATGAAGTGGAAGGGAGTTATAAGGATGATCCTATAGCTACTCAATGGATTTTTGTATTATCTGTTACTCCTAATGATGATCTGCAGTGGAAATTTTCAGGAGGTATCCTTAGATTTAAGAATAGAGTTTATATTGGGGAAGCTGGATCTTAGACTACAGATACTTCAGACACTACATGATCCTTATGGTGGTCATTCTGGCAGTCAGGCTACCTATCAAAGGATCAGGTCTTACTTCTATTGGCCTAGATTGAAAGCTATGGTTGTTACTTATGTAAGAGCATGTGCAGTTTGTCAACAGACTAAGGTGGAACATGTGCCTAAACCAGGGTTATTACAGTCTTTACCTATTCCTCAATAGGCTTGGGAAGTTATTATTATGGACTTTATTGAGGGATTGCCTACATCTTTAAGAAAGAATTGTATTCTGGTGATAGTTGACAAGTTTACTAAATATAGCCATTGTTACTTATGTAAGCATGTGCAGTTTGTCAACAGACTAAGGTGGAACCTGTGCCAAACCAGGGTTATTACAGTCTTTACCTATTCCTCAATAGGCTTGGGAAGTTATTATTATGGACTTTATTGAGGGATTGCCTACATCTTTAAGAAAGAATTGTATCTGGTGATAGTTGACAAGTTTACTAATATAGCCACTTTCTGGCATTAGCACACCCTTACACTGCTGCAGAGGTTGGCAAATTATACCTAGATTGTGTTTACAAGTTGCATGGTCAGCCTAAAATGGCCATTTCAGACAGGGACAAGACTTTCACTAGCCTCTTTTGGAGAGAGCTAATGAAGCAGTTAGGAACGAAGGCTCTATTTAGCACTACCTACCATCCTGAAACTGATGGACAATCAGAAAGAGTAAACCATGCTTAGAACAGTTCTAAGGGTCTTTGTTTTTTCCAACCAAACAGTGGGCAAAGTGGGTTGCCTCATGCTGAATGGTGGTATAATACTACCTACCATACTGCCCTTAAGTTAATACCTTTTGCAGTCCTATATGGCTACAAGCCACCTACTATGGTATGGCATACAGACAGTCCAGTACAAGGCAGAGTTAATGCATAATAGAGAAGAGATCAGGCAATTAGTCAATTCTCAGTTAGAACAAGCAAGTAAACGAATGAAGCAAAAAGCAGATAAACATCGATCAGAGAGAAATTTTCAGGTTGGTGATTTGGTTTACCTAAAATTACAGCCCTACAGACAGACCTCTCTTGCCCTGCGAAAAAATTTAAAATTAGCAGCAAGATTTTATGGCCCTTATAAGGTTACTGAAAGAATTGGAGAAGTTGTTTATAAACTGGACTTACCTGAGACTTCCCGTCTCCATCCGGTTTTTCATGTTAGTTTATTGAAGAAACATATTTGGGCAACCGTATCGTCTTCAACAGATCCTCCTGTGATGGACGAAGTGGGTCAGTTCAAGATTGAACCAAGTCAGATTCTGGGCAGACGAATAGTTAAGAGACAAAACAAACCGATAACTCAACTATTGGTTCTTTGGACTAACCTGGATGCTACGAACGACACATGGGATGATTATTCTGTGCTCTGAGGCCAATTTCCGAGTTTTGATCCTTGGGGACAAGGATCTTCTACAGCGGCGGGTATTGTCACAGTTGGAAGAGAAGAACATGGAAACGAAGAGGAAAACGGTGAAGTAGGGAGTGAGATGCGAAGGAGAAATGAAAAAGGGGAATTAGGGATTGAAGGGCGAGAGGAAAATGAGATTGGGGAATTAGGGATTATGGCAATTGAAGGGCTACGGATGTTACCTGATGAAGTGGAGCCGCACGTGACCAGTTCAGCAATGGGGAGCAGGCCAGAAAAGGATCCAAGAGGAGTCACAGCCCGTCAACCCAATGGAAAGGTTTAGCCCACTTTCAGTCCAATAGCCTGCAGAAAAGAGAATCTAATAGTTGTTATAATCTGTTATAAGGACAGCCAGCTGGCATCCTTTCAAAAGACTGAATTAGCCCTGTAACTATATAAAATATGCTGTATTGAGAATGGGAACAATTATGAAATGAATGCATGAACTTTTTATGTAAACTCTATCAACTTCTCTTCTGAAATCCCTTTCTTCTTCGCTATTTCTTCTCTAATATACCTAGATCGTCACATGACACAAGTTGATGATTACCTGCATTATATAAACAATCCTGTCGAGCACCCCAAAGTCCATGGTTTGGGATAATGCACAACCAAATTACACCATGATTAAATAACTCTATAAACCCTTTATTTCATCAAATTATAATAAAACATAACCTAAAATGAGAAGAAGAAGAAGTTGGGGCTGGAGTCCGAGGATAACGAATCAACGACAGAGCAACAATGGAGGCAAGGGTCAAACCATAGAAATGAAAGGGTTTGGGAGAAATTGAGGCGATGGACAGTTGCGTATATGAGAAGACTTGAAGGATAAAGCCTTTAATGAAAAGTCTTTAGACTTTAATGGTGATGAAAAAGAAATAGATTCTCTGGCTCGGTCTTCTGATTCAATTTGTATAGGTGGGTGAGCTGCAAAACAACAAAGGAAACAAATAAATTTTTAGTTTGACTCTTAAATTTTTGATAGATTATGAATTGGCCCCTAAAATTTAGAGGTTAAATTGATATTTATCTAAAATTTAATGGTTAAAATGATATTTTATTTAAGAATTAGGGACACATTCTTTTCAATCTACAGGCTTTGAAGGAGGGTTGAGGGAGGGTTGAGAGAGCTTCGTATAGGGGAAAAAAAGACAATTTTTATTAGTTTCATTTAATTATTCCTTATAGGTTGCCCCAATTCTGATGCGGCACGGTAAGGATTCAATTAAAAAATGTGACTTTCTCGAGTTTTTTTTCTTTTCCATCACTCAAATCAGCTATGAACTGCATTGTATGTGACTCTGTCCCTATTTTTTTAAATATAACTTTTTGAAAATATAAATTTTAAAAATATATTGATATGTGTTTACAAGTATCGATACATTTTTATAGTCTCAAAAGTTATCCGGTCCAACCTACCTTAAATGTTAAGTTTCAACCGGTTTGTTTAAGTTTCAAGTCCAACATGTTGTATTCTTATGTATCAATACTTGTATATATGTATCAGTATCTACCGATAACATTCAAATGTTATCAGGTCCAACCAATCTCAAATATAAAGTTTTAACCGGTTTGTTTAAGTTCTAACCTATTGTCTTCTTATGTATTGATACTTGTATATATGTATCGATACCTACTGATAACAAGCGTTATGTATTTCATTCTTTATGTTCTAAATATTTTTATGTTTTAAAATGTATTTTCTTTTCTTATAACATAGGTGGAGAATGTGGTGGACAATGAAGTGCAGAATCAAATTATGGTGAATGAAGATCCAAATAAATATATTCAGACAAAGTGTCGATACTCAAAGATTATCCTGGCAAAGTATCGATACCCATACTGTATGTATCGGTACCTACACTTTCGATCTTTTTTCTTATTTTAACCAGCTTAGTTAACATTGTTGTGTGGCATTATAGGTTGTGCCTTGTTATTTCTAACAGGATACCGTATAAGTTAGAGTAATGTATTCGGTTACTGTAACACCCCAATTTAGGGGCTAAATTTTAGAAATTATAAAGTATTGGATTTAATTGGTATTTTGAAAGAAACAGTGGATTAAATTGTAAAATTTTAAAGTTGGTAGACCATTTTATAAAGTGCAGGAAGTTCAGTGACTAAACTCATGGTTTACCCATTTTTTATGGGATGAATTATAACCCCTTCTTTCGATTGTTTATGCGTATTTTTCCCAGTTTTCCCTCCCCCATTGACCCTCATTTTCTTTTCGATCTACTCACCATCCGGCGTCCGTTTGACGAACTGAAACCACCATCGTGTTCGTTTTCGATCGATGAACAAAACCCCTCAAACCTTTCATCGTGAATCGTCGTCGTTCGTCGTTAATTTCAGTCGGAAGTATCGTCGGTTTAACTCAATTTTCGTTGGTTTTTAGTCAATTCACGACGATCCGAACATCCGTTTTCGACACCTCCCGCACCATCGTGTTCCTTACATCGTGCCAAGTCCACCGGTGTTCTCCATTTCTCCGTCGTCACCGGCGCGTAGAGGGGTGAGACCGTCAAAGTTTCCAACGTTTCAGAATTGAGTTCTCCGCCGTTCAAAATTGTAAACCGAGCTTGGTAAGTGTCTCAAAATGCCTTAAAATAATTTTTAGGAATTTTTTCGGGAATTTTCTGACACCGTATCACTGTTCACGCGCCGCCACTGCGCGTAGGGGATGCTAATTTTGTAATTAATTTCTGTTAGGGTGATATTTGTGTAAAATTCGGGAGTTAGTTTTGTAAATATTTTTCGAAGGCGGCTAAATTTGTAATTAATTTCTGTTAGGGTGATATTGGTCTAAAACAGTCGACTGTTGACCGTTGACCTGCATTGACCGTTGACCACTGTTGACCAGAACTTTGACTGGTGTTGACCGGGCTTTGAACGACCTTTGACTTTGACCGGGTATACTTATTCTGACGTTTTGTGACGCCTTGAATTCGATTTTGGGGTCTGTTTCGTCAAATTCAAACCCGATAAGTTGGTTTTCACTGATTAATCACCCGATTTGATCCATTTTTTGGAATTAAGCCCGTTTTTGATGAAATTTGATTTTTATCTATCTGAGGAATTATTGGAAGATGATTTCAAGATCAAGGCTGTTTGAATGGAATTTAATGGTTGATCAGTATGGCATGAAAATTGAGGTAATATATTACTACCTCTTTATGCTTTATAGAACATGTTGGTATTGGTAAATGCATGAATGGAAATGTTTGGTCTCATATGTGTAATTAATAAAGTTCTACACTCGATATGAATGCGCTAGAAAGTATGTAACTGAATATGGCTCAGATGACTATTACAAGAAATTGAAGGACAATTGGAATTAAATTACAAGTTCTAGAATTAAGTGATAAAGGATATTGATCTGATAAATTTTCAGATGTGCATAAAAAATGCTAGTTGTGCTTGGAAAATTTGGATAATCAGTTTTTAACCTTAAGATGGTTTGTGAAAGATACTAGAAGTCTGTTAAGGGAATCATTTCAAGATCAGAGAATATTCAAGAAAGCCATTAATCATAGGATCTCTAAATTATATTATTTTTTGTTAAGAGTTAATAATGAAATTATCTGGTTAAGAAATTACGAAAATGCCCTTGAGAGGTAAAATAGTCTGAGTTGACCCTGAATGAGAAAGTACTTTAAGAATTCGTACTTAACTCGATTAAGTACGAATTTGATTGTTAAGATCCTGACTTAGTGCAGAAAAATTCCTGATATTCCGTTTGTAAAATCTGAGAAGGTACTTGACCCAAAAATATCTGAGTTATGAGTAAATACCTGAAGAACAATTTATCGAGGGTATTCTTTTGTCATAATTGTTCGAATGGATTGAAATAAATGATAAGTTTGAATTTAATAATATGATCGGACGAAAAGAAATGATTGAAATACACTGGATCTATAAAATGACCAGAATACCCCTGTAATGGAAATGACCCAAGAATATCACCAAGCTCAGGAATGATAGGATATCCTCGAGCTCTGTAATGATTAGAATAAAACTGAAAACCAAAATGACCAAAAAACCCTTATGGCCTTTACTAAGTAAATTTCTTGGATTAATTAAGGAATCCAAATAAGCATAGGTTTTGGACTACCTTTAAAAGTTATGGAACACAACTTAAGTGAGTCGATCAACCTTAATGATAAGTCAGTACCTGAACGACATAGATATTACTTGAATGCGTCTTCGTCTTCTCAAGTTTGGCTCGATGATAATTTTCGAAGTATACAGCTAAACTCTAGATTGCATTCAGTACTAAGAATTGGATATTTGTTCGACAAATCAACTAAGAAGACCGAACTGAATGAAAGTACAATATGTATATGAAATTCAGGAATGTCTGAATTACTCTTGAAAATCCGAAGTAACTCGAATAGACTTGACTGCTAAATGAACTAAGTAACCTCAAGGACTGAAGATTAAGTAAATGATTGGGATAAGCCCAGAAATTTGGATGAACTTACATGATGTATTATCCCTATGGATTATGAACCATAAATCAAGTACGTCGGCATTTCTTGGTGTAGTTAAAACATGGAAATGAAATAAAGATTATTAGAATATTTGTTCGTTTCCTTAAGATTTGTTCAGTGAGGACTCAGAAATTGATCTATGGACAAGAATATTTGGTATTAAAGAGTAAATACCCTTGAAGGTAAATGAATTGACCAATTAGCAAGCACCGGTTCTGTGAGTTATTCATCTCGAGTTGTTCGATAATCCGATCAATCGACATAGATTGTA